TCTTCAGCCAAGAATACTCTATCCAGCAAAAATATCCTTCAGATATGAGGGAGAAATTAAATCTTTTCCAGACAAACAAAAGCTAAGGGACTTCATAGTCACAAGACCACACCTACAAGAAATCGTCAAGACGGCCCTCATACCAGAAAAAGAAAAGAAGGGAGAAAGGGGTCACAAAATACAGAGTAGGGAGACAAGTAGATAGAACCAGAACAGGATAGCAAGTATTGAACTATAGCACTAGGATAAAAGGAAGGAAAATCACCAAAGTAAAGACAATCTTATCACTCGAACCACAAACTCACAACACAAGTTGGAATAAGAGACGAAAATAATACTTTAGGAGGAGAAGATGAAAGGGACTGAATCAGTTTAGGCAAAGGAAGAAAGAGACCACCAGAAACCAGACTATATTATACACGAGATTCTGAATACCAACTGCAGGGTAGCTACTAAACTAAAACACACAACAGAGACACAAAACATAAATAAGGAAAAAGCTATAAATCCCAGCCAAAGAAATTGCAGAAGTCATTGGGTAGGCTAAAACACACAGGATGAGAAACAAAGGAAACGCAGGGAAACCAGAAAATGAGCGACAGAATGACAGCATTAAGCCCTCATACATCAATACTCACCCTCAATGTAAAAGGATTGAACTCTCCCAAATAAAGACACATATTGGCAAAATGGATTACAAAACAAGATCCAACAATTTGTTGCCTCCAGGAAACACACCTCAGCTCCAAGGACAAACACAGGCTCAAGTGAAGGGGTCGAAGACAACACTCCAAGCTAACAGCAAACAAAAGACAGCAGGTGTCACAATACTTATATCAGACAAAACAGATTTCAAGGTAAGGCAGGTAAAGAGAGACATAGAGGGCCAATACATAATGATCAAAGGGACACTTCATCAAGAAAAAATAACGCTTATAAATATCTATGCACCCAACAGAGGAGCACCATAGTTCATAAAGCAACTATTAACAAACCTAAAAGAAGATATCAAAAGTAACACAATAATAGTAGGGGACCTCAACGCCCCACTCACATCAATGGACAGATCATCCAGAAAGAAAATCAACAAGGAAACAGTGGACCTAAATGAAAATCTAAAACAGTTGGACTTAATAGACATATATAGAACACTTCACCCAAAACCAGCAGAATACACATTCTTCTCAAGTGTGCATGAAACATTCTCAAGGACAGACCATATGTTGGGAAACAAGGCAAGCCTCTACAAATTTAAGAAAAATTGAAATAATAACAAGCATCTTCTCCAATCATAATGCTATAAAGCTAGAAATTAATTACAAGAAAAAAGTTGAGAAAGGCGCAAACATGCAGAGACTATACAATATGCTATTGAACAAGCAATGGATCATTGAAGAAATTAAAGAAGAAATCAAAAAATACCTGGAGACAAATGAAAATGATACATGCCATATCAACTCACATGGGATACAGCAAAAGCTGTATTAAGAGGAAAATTCATCGCAACACAGGCAAATCTTAACAAACAAGAAAAATCCCAAATCAGCGATCTTAAACTACATCTAATTGAATTAGAGAAAGAAGAACAAACAAAGCCCAAAGTCAGCAGAAGGAGAGAAATAATAAAAATCAGAGCAGAAATAAATGCTATTGAAACAAAAAAGGCAGTAGAAAGGATCAATGAAACAAAAAACTGGTTCTTTGAGAAGATAAATAAAGTTGACAAACCCCTAGCCAGACTTACAAAGAAAAAAAGAGAGAAAGCTCAAATAAACAAAATCAGAAATGAAAGAGGAGAAATAACAAAAGACTCTGCAGAAATACAACGGATTATAAGAGAATACAACACAAAACTATATGCCAACAGAGTGGATAACCTAGAGGAAATGGATTAATTCTTGGATTCCTACAATCTCCCAAAGCTTAGTGAAGAAGAAGCAGACAATTTGAACAGACCAATCAAAAGGAAAGAGATTGAAATAGCAATCAAAAGCATCCCAAAGAATAAAACCCCAGGACCAGATGGCTTCCCTGGGGAATTCTACCAAACTTTCAGAGAGGATTTAATACCTATCCTTTTCAAGCTATTCCAAAACTTAGGGAGGATGGAACACTTCCTAACACATTCTATGAGGCCAACATCACGCTGATACCAAAGCTTGACAAGGACAGCACGAGAAAGGAGAACTACAGGCCAATATCTCTGATCAACATAGATGCAAAAATTCTCAACAAAATTTTGGCAACCCGAATTCAGCAATTCATCAAAAGGATCATACATCATGATCAAATGGGATTCATACCAGGGACACAGGGATGGTTCAACATTTGCAAATCAATCAACATGATACATCACATCAACAAACTGAGGAATAAAAACCACATGATCATCTCAATAGATGCAGAGAAAGCATTTGACAAGATCCAACAGCCATTTATGACAAAAAAATCTGAACAAAATGGGGATGGAAGGGAACCACCTCAACATAACAAAGGCCATATATGACAAACCCACGGCCAACATCATACTCAATGGGCAAAAACTGAGCACCATCCCCCTGAAAACAGGAATGAGCCAAGGATGCCCTCTATCACCACTCTTATTTAACCTAGTACTGGAGGTTATGGCCAGAGCAGTTAGGCAAGAGAAAGGAATAAAAGGAATCCAAATAGGGAGCGAAGAAGTGAAACTCTTGCTGTTTGCAGATGACATGATCTTATATACAGAAAACCCCAAAGAATCCATTGGAAAACTTTTAGAAATAATCAACGACTACGGCAAAGTTGCAGGGTATAAGATCAATGTACATAAATCAGTAGCATTTCTATACTCTAATAATGAACTAACAGAAAAAGAGCTCAAGAGCATGATACCATTCACAATCGCAACAAAAAGAATAAAATACCTTGGGGTGAATTTAACTAAGGAAGTGAAAGACCTATAGGATGAAAACTACAAGGCTTTTCTGAAAGAAATGGATGACGACATAAAGAGATGGAAAGACATTCCCTGTACATTGATTGGAAGAATAAAGATAGTTAAAATGTCCATTCTACCTAAAGCAATCTACACATTCAATGCCATCCCAATCAGAATCCCAATGACATTCTTTACAGAAATAGAACAAAGAATCCTAAAATTCATATGGGGTAACAAAAGACCCCGAATTGCTAGAGCAATCCTGAGAAAAAAGAACAAAGCTGGAGGCATTACAATCCCTGACTTCAAAACATACTACAAAGCTACAGTAATCAAAACAGCACGGTACTGGTACAAAAACACGTGCACAGATCAATGGAACAGAATTGAAAGCCCAGAAATAAAACCACACATCTATGGACACCTAATCTTCAAAGAAAGGAGATGAGGGCATACAATGGAGAAAAGAAAGTCTTTTCAAGAAATGGTGCTGGGAAAACTGGAAAGCCACATGTAAAAGAATGAAAATTGGCCATTCTTTTTCACCATTCACCAAAATAAACTCAAAATGGATCAAAGACCTACAGGTAAGACCTGAAACCATAAGGCTTCTAGAAGAAAATGTAGGCAGTACACTCTTTGACATCAGCATCAAAAGTATCTTTTTGGACACCATGTCTTCTCAGACAAGGGAAACAATAGAAAGAATAAACAAATTGGACGTCATCAGATTAAAGAGCTTCTTCAAGGCAACAGAAAACAGGATTGAAACAAAAAAACAACCCACTAACTGGGAAAAAATATTTGCAAGTCATACATCCAACAAAGGCTTAATATCCATAATATATAAAGAACTCTCACAACTCAACAACAAAAAAATCAAACAACCAATCAAAAATGGATGGGAGACATGAACAGACATCTCTCCAAAGAAGATATACGGATGGCCAATAGGCACATGAAAAGATGTTCATCATTGCTGATCATCAGGGAAATGCAAATCAAAACTACACTAAGATATCACCTTACACCCATTAAAATGACAAAAATAACCAAAACAAATAGTAACAAATATTGAAGAAGTTGTGGAGAAAAAGGAACCCTCACTGTTGGTGGGATTGCAAACTGGTGGAGCCACTATGGAAAACAGTATGGAGATCCTCAAAAAATTAAAAATAGAACTACCATACAATCCAGCTATCCCACTACTGGGTATCTATCCAAAGAGCTTGAAATCAGGAATTCCAAAAGTCCCATGCACCCCTATGTTCACTGCAGCATTATTTACAATAGCCAAGACATGGAAGCAACCTAAGCGCTCATCAACAGATGATTGGATAAAGAAGATGTGGTATATATATATACAATGGAATACTACTCAGCCGTAAAAAAGAACAAAATCATCCCATTTGCAACAACATGGATTAATCTTGAGGGAATTATGTTAGTGAAATAAGCCAGATAGAGAAGGACAATCTCTGTATGACTCCACTCATATGAGGAATTTAAAAATGCAGACAAAGAGAACAGATTAGTGGCTACTGGGGGAAAGGTGGGGTGGGGGTGGGCACAAAGGTGAAGGAGTGAACCTACAACACGACTGACAAACAATAATGTACAACTGAAATTTCACAAGATTGTAACCCATCATTAACTCAATAAAAATAAAATAAATAAATAAGTAAATAAAAATAGTAAGATGGCTCCAGAGAATGAGAAGACAAGCCCCAGACTGGGAGAAAATATTTGCAAAAGACACATCTAATAAGCAGCTGTTATCCAACTTATACAAAGAACTCTTAAAATGCAGTAAGAAAACATACAATCCCATTCAAAAATGGGCAAAAGTTAGAGAGTAAATGTAAGCATTCTCATCACAAAAAAATAAATAAATAAAGATAACTATGTGAGGTGATGGATGTATCAACTTGATTATGAGAATCATTTCATAATGTACCCTTATATCAAATCATCATGTTGTACACTCTAAAAATATATACTTTTATTTGTCAATTATACCTCAATATAGCTATGGGAAAAAATTAGGAATTAAAAATGTGCCAAATATCTTAATAGAGACCTTGCTAAAGAAGTATATTGGCAGGGCTGGCCTGGTGGTGTAGTGGTTAAGTTTGTGCACTCCACTTCAGCAGCCCAGGGTTTGCAGGTTCAGATCCTGGGTGTGGACCTAGCATCACTTGTCAAGCCATGCTGTGGTGGCGTCCTAATGAAATAGAGGAGGATTGGCACAGATGTTAGCTCAGCAACAGTCTTCCTCACAAACACAAAAAAGAAGTATATTGGCAAATAAGCATATGAAAAGATGCTCCACATCATATGACACCGGGGAAATGCAAATTAAAACAATGAGATACCACTACACACCTATTAGAATGGCCAAAATCCAGAACACTGACAACATCAAATGTTTGCAAAAATGTGGAACAACAGGAACTCTCATTCATTGCTGGTGGGAAGGCAAAATGGTATAGGTACTTTGGAAGACAGTTTGACAGCTTCTTACAATTGAAACATACTTTTACCCTATGATCCAGCAATTGTGCTGCTTGGTATTTACCCAAATGAATTTAAAACATATGTCTACACAAAAACCTGCCCACAGATGTTTATAGAAGCTTTACTCATAATTGCCCAAACTTGGAAGCAATCAAGGTGTACTTCAGTAGGTGAAAGGATGAATAAACTGTGGCACATCCTGACAGTGGAATATAATTCAGTGCTAAAAAGAAATGAGCTATCAAGCCATGAAAAGACATGGAAGAACCTTAAATGCATAATACTAAGTGAAAGAAGCCAATCTGAGAAGGCTACATAATAAGATTCCTTCTATATGACATTCTGGAAAAGGTAAAACTATGCAGACGGTAAAAAAAGAGCAGAGGTTGCCAGGGGTTGCTGGGGAGGAAGGTAGGAACAAACAGATGGAGCACAGGGGATATTTATGGCAGTGAAAATACTCTGAATGATATTGAAATGGTGGATACATGTCATTATACGTTGTTAAAACCCATAGAATGTACAGCATCAACAGTGGACTTCATGTAAACCAAGGACTTTGGGTGATCACGATGTGTCACTGTAGACTCATCAATTGTAACAAATATATCACTCTGCTGAAGGATGTTGATAACAGGGGAGGTCATGCTACATGGGGATGGGGATTATATGAGAACTCTCTGTACGTTCTGTTAAAACTGCTCTTAAAAAATAGTCTATTCAAAAATTGGCAAGGAGGTGACAGAGTGAGCTCTTCCCTTGGACTCTCTCCTCTAAAACACAACCAAAAGGACATTCATACACCAACAGAGGACACATATACAACACAAAAGACGTTTGTGAGACCCACGCAGCCATATGTCTGAAGGTGGTGACGGGGCTGGATCCCCTGGAGGAAATGGAAGCTGACCGGCAGGAGCTCCTCGGAGGGAGAGGGGCCACAGCTGGGGGAGGTGTGCAGCTGGGGAGAGGGGCCCTGACCTCACCTGGCGCTCCAGTCCCATGACTGCTGGAGCATGGTGCAGAGAGACAAGGGCTGGCTGGGGGAGGTGTGCAGCTAAGGAGAGGTGCCCTGCCCTAGCCTGGTGGCCCAGGCCCATGATCACCTACAGCACGATGCAGAGAGAGAAGCAGTGGCTGGTGGAGCCCTGTGAGTGCCCAGAGCACCATGCAGAGAGAGAGGCAGCGGTTGGGGGAGGCAAGCAGGTGTAAGAAAGCACCCCTTCCCTCACCTGGCACTCCAATCCTGTGATCACACAGAAAGAGAAGTGGAGGTTTGGGGAAGCTCAGGTGCAAGAAAGCACCCCTACCCCTGCCCAGTGCTCCAGATCTGCCATCAGACAGAGCATCACACAGTGAGGAAGCAGTCAGTGGCTGGAGCTGGGGAGGCCCTGATCGTGCTGGGTCCAGAGTACACAGTGCCTGATCCCCAAGCAGTGGAGGCACTTGGCAGGAGCAACCAGATAATAACACCATGTGGAGGCAAAAATCCACATCATCAAGCAGAATGACAAAGTATATTAAATGTTCAGACCAGAAGGAAAATGACAAGTACCCAGAAACCAACCCTGAAGACACAGAAATCCATAATCTAAATGACAAAGAATTCAAAACAGGTATCATAAAAAAACTCAACTAGTTACAAGAAAACACAGAAAGACAAATTAACGAATTCAGGAGCTTCTTCACAAAAGAGATTGAAACTATAAAGAAGAACCAATCAGAATTGTTGGAGATGAAAAACACAATGGATGAGATAAAGAAAAACATGTACTCCCTAAACAACAGAACTGACAATACAGAGGACCGAATTAGCACTTTAGAAGATAATACTATAGAAATGCTTCAGAGGAAGGAGAAGAGAGAACTAAGACTAAAAAGAAATGAAGAAGCTCTCGGAGAAATATCTGACTCAATTAAGGAAAAGCAACATAAGGATCATAGATATTCCAGAGGGGGACGAGAAGGAGAATGGAGCAGAAAGCTTGTTCAAAGAAATAATGGCAGAGAATTTCCCAAACCTGGAGAAGGGAGATGGAAATCCACGTGAAAGAGGCTACCAGAACTCCCAACTATGTTAATGCAAAAAGACTTCCTGCAAAACTATATATACATATAGTAGTAGCTGGTAAAACACAATGACAAAGAAAAAATATTAAGGGCAGTAAGGAAGAAAAGAATAACTTACAAAGGAATCCCTAGCAGGCTTTCTGTGGATTTCTCAACAGAAACCTTATAGGCTAGGGGAGAGTGGAATGATGTATTCAAAATCCTGAAAGACAAAAACTTTCAGCCAAGAATACTCTATCCAGCGAAAATCTCCTTCAGATATGACGGAGAAATAAAAACTTTCCCAGATAAGCAAAAGCTAAGGGAGTTCATCACCACAAGACCCTCCTCTACAAGAAATCCTCAAGAAGGCCATTATACCTGAAAGAAAAAAAACCAAACAGGAAAGTGGCTCCAAAGCCCTGAGCAAGGAGATGAATAGGTAGGTAATAATCAGAAAATGGTAGCTATCAATCAGGTTGGTAAACACTTAACTTTTACATCAAGAATAAAGAAAAAGAAAACACCAAAATAAAAATTATCTCATCATTTTAACCACAAACTCACAACACAAGATGGAATAAGATATGACAAAAATACCTTAGAAAGGGAAGAGGAAAGGGATAGAATCAGTATAGCCTAAGGAAATAAGAGGCAATCAGAAAATGGACTGTCTCATCTTCAAGACTTTTTATATGAACCTAATGGTAAGCACTAAACAAATAATTAGAACAGAGACATATACGATAAACAAGGAGAAAATGAAGAAAACCAACATAGAAAACTATCTAATCAAGTCAGTAGTCTGAAATAACACGGGACGAGAAATAAAGGAAATGCAGAAGAAGAGGAAAATGTGGGATAAGATGGCAGTATTAAGCCCTCATATATCAATAATCACTCTAAATGTAAATGGATTGAATTCTCCAATCAAAAGACACAGAGTGGCAGGATGGACTAAAGAACAAGATCCAGCAACATGCTGCCTCCAGGAAACACATCTCAGCTCTAAAGATAAACATGGGCTCAGAGGAAAGCGATGGAAGACAATGCTCCAAGCTAATGGCCAACAAAAGAAAGCAGGCATTGCCATATTTATATTAGACAAAGTAGACTTCAAGATAAAACAGGTACAGAGAGACATAGGCAGTATATAATGATAAAAGAGACTCTCTACCAAGAAGACATGACACTTATAAACATATATGCACCCAACACAGGAGCACCAAAGTACATAAAGCAACTATTAACAAACCTAAAAGGAGATATTACCAATAACATAATAATAGTAGGGAACCTCAATATCCCACTTACACAATGGATAGATCATCCAGACAAAAAGTCAACAAGGAGATAGTGGAATTAAATGAAAAACCAGACCAGATGAACTTAATAGATATAGAGAGAGCACTGCATCCAAAACCAGCAGCATACATATTCTTCTCAAGCACACATGGAACGTTCTCCAGGACAGACCATATATTGGGAAACAAGGCAAAGCTCAATAAGTTGAAGAAGTTTGAAATCATATCTACTGTCTTTTCAGACCATAATGCTATGAAACTAGAAATCAACTACAAGAAAAAAGCTGGGAAAGGAACAAAACTGTGCAGACTAAACAACATGCTACTGAACAACCAATGGGTTGTCAAAGAAATAAAGGGAGAGATCAAAAAATATCTGGAGACAAATGAGAATGAAAACACCATACCAACTCATATGGGATGCAGTAAAAGTGGTCCCAAGAGGGCAATTTACAGCAATATTGGCCCATGTTAACAAACAAGAAAAACCTCAAATAAACAATCTTAAACTATACCTAACAGAATAAGAAAAGAAGAACAAACAAAGTCCAAAGTCAGCAGAAGGAGGGAAATAATAAAAATTAGAGAAGAAATAAATGAAATTGAAACAAAAAAAGACTGTAGAAAGGATCAATGAAACAAGGAACTGGTTCTTTGAGAAAAAAAAAAATTGACAAACCCTTAGCTAGACTCACTAAGAAAAAAAGAGAAGGCTCAAATAAATAAAATTAGAAATGAAAGAGGAGAAATTACAATGGATACCATGGAAATACAAAAGATTATAAGAGAATATTATGAAAAACTACATGCCAACAAACTGGACAACCTAGAAGAAATGGGTAAATTCTAGACTCTTACAACCTCTAAAAACCGAATCAAGAAGAAATAGAGAATCTGAATAGGCCAATCACAAGTAAATAGATTGAAAGAGTAATCAAAAAATTCCCCCAAAATAAAGTCCAGGACCAGATGGCTTCTCTGGAGAATTCTACCAAACATTCAAAGATTTATTACCTATTCTTCTCAAACTATTTCAAAAAATTGAGGAAGATGAAAATATTCCTAACACATTCTATGAGGCCAACATCACCCTGATACCAAAGCCAGACAAGGACAACACAAAGAAGGAAAATTAAAGGCCAATAACTCTGATGAACATAGATGCAAAATTCTTCAACAATATATTGGCAAATCGAATACAGCAACACATTAACAAGATCATACACCATGATCAAGTGGGATTCATACCAGGGACACAGGGATGGTTCAACATCTGCAAATCAATCAACGTGATACACATTAACAAAATAAGGAACAAAAATCACATGATGATCTCCATAGATGCAGAGAAAGCATTTGACAAGATCCAACATCCATTCATGATAAAAACTCGAAATAAAATGGGTACAGAAGGAAAGTACCTCAGCATGGTAAGGCCATATATGACAAACCCACAGCCAACATCATACTCTGAGGAAGACTGAAAGCCATCCCCCTGAGAACAGGAACAAGACAAGGGTGCTCACTCTTGTCACTCTTATTCAACATAGTACTAGAGGTTTTGGCCAGAGCAATTAGGCAAGAAAAAGAAATAAAAGGAATCCAAACAGGCAATGAAGAAGTGAAACTCTCACTATTTGCAGATGACATGATTTTTTACACAGAAAACCCTAAAGAATCCATCGGAAAACTATTAGAAATAATCAACAAATACAGCAAAGTTGCAGGGTACAAATTCAACTTACAAAAATCGTAGCATTTCTATACTCTAATAACAAACTAACAGAACAAGAACTGAAGAATACAATCCTATTTACAATTACAACAAAAAGAATAAAATATCTAGGAATAAATTTAACCAAGGAGGTGAAAGACCTATACAAGGAAAACTATGAGACATTACTGAAAGAAATCTATAACGACATATGAACTGGAAAGATATTCCATGCACAAGGATTGGAAGAATAAACATAGTTAAAATGTCCATACTACCTAAAGCAATCTACAGATTCAGTGCAATCTCAATCAGAATCCCAATGACATTCTTCACAGAAATAGAACAAAGAATCTTAAAATTCATATGGGGCAACAAAAGACCCCCAATAGCCAAAGCAATCCTGAGAAACAAGAACAAAGCTGGTGGCATTGCATTCCCTGACTTCAAAATATACTACAAAGCTATAGTTATCACAACATCATGGTATTGATACAAGAACAGGCACACAGATCAATGGAACAGAAGTGAAAGCCCATAAATAAAACCACACATCTATGGGCAGCTAATTTTTGATAAAGGAGCCAAGAACACACAATGGAGAAGGAAAAGCCTCTTCAATAAATGGTGCTGGGAAAACTGGACAGCCACATGCAAAAGAATGAAAGTAGACCATTATCTTTCTCCATACACTAAAATAGATTCAAAGTGGACCAAAGACTTGAAGGTAAAACCTGAAACCATAAAACTTCTGGAAGAAAACATAAGCAGTACACTCTTTGACATCAGACTTAAAAGGATCTTTTCAAATACCATGTCTACTCAGACAAAGGAAACAAAAGACAAAATAAACAAGTGGGACTTTGTCAAACTAAACAACTTCTGGAAGGCAAAGGAAACCAAGATCAAAATGAAAAAACAACCCACCAAATGGGAGAAAATATTTGCAAATCATATAGCAAATAAGGGGTTAGTCTCCATAATATATAAAGAACTCACACAAATGAACTACAAAAAAAACAAACAACTCAATCAAAAAGCGGGCAGAGGATATGAACAGACATTTTTCCAAAGAAGATGTATACATGGCCAATAGGCCCATGAAAAGATGCTCAACATCACTAATCATCAGGGAAATGCAAATCAAAACTACTCTTAGATATCATCTTAGGCCTGTTAGAATGGCTATAATCACCAAGACAAAAAACAACAAATGTTGGAGAGGTTGCAGAAAAAAGGGAACCCTCATCCCCTGCTGGTAGGAATGCAAACTGGTGCAGACACTTTGGAAAACAGTATGGAGACTTCTCAAAAAATTAAAAATAGAATTACCATATGAGCCAGCCATCTCACTACTGAGTATTTATCCAAAGAACTTGAAATCAACAATACAAAGAGCCTTATGCACCCCTGTGTTCACTGCAGCATTATTCACAATAGCCAAGATGTGGAAACAACCCAAGTGCCCATCGACTGATGACTGGATAAAGAAGATGTGGTGTATATATACAATGGAATACTACTCAGCCATAAAAAATGACGAAATTCTCCTTTGCAACCACATGGATGGACCTTGAGGGTATTACATTAAATGAAATGAGCCAGAGAGAGAAAGACAAACACCATATGATTTCACTCATATGTGGAATATAAACAAACTTATGAACAAGGAGAATAATTTAGTCATTACCAGGGGGAAGCAGGGTGGAGGGTGGGCACAAGGGGTGAAGGGGCACACTTATATGGTGCATGACAAATATTAATGTACAACTGAAATTTCACAATGTTATAAGCTATTATGACCACAATAAAAATAAAAATTTTTAAAAATTGGCGAGATGGTCAATTTTATGTGTATTTTACCACAATTAAATTTTTTTTTAATTTAAAGCAATGAAATTCTGATACACGATACAGCATGGATGAACCCTGAGGATATTATGCCAGACACAGAACGACAAATACCATGAGATTCCACCTATATAAGGGACCTGTAGTCAAATTCATAGAGAGAGAAAGTAGAAGGGTGGATGCCGGGGGCTGGGGACTTATTATTTAATGGATATCGAGTTTCAGTTTGGGAATAGGAAAAAGTTCTGGAAATAGACAATGGTGATGGTTGCAGAACATTGTGAATGTATTTAAAGCCACTGAACTGTACATTTAAAAATGGTTAAAATGGTAAATTTTATGTTACACAGGTTTAGCACAATTTTTTAAAAAAGGAACAAACACACGCACACACAGGACCCTACAAGCTAACGATATCCTGTAACAAGGGCCTCCGTTTAGATCTAAACCCACTACTTTTATATTTAAAGAAAAGAAGGAGTCTTGGGAGCCTGGGTTTAGGGGGACACCCGTGAGTCACCTCCTCACCTTTCAGAGAACGCGACTGGTAGACAGCTGGCCGAGAAGCCTCGAACGCGGCTTGTGCTCCCCAAAATCAGAGCGGCTTTACCTGAAATGAAACAGAAAATGTGTTTTGTTGTTGAATAATCCTTCACCAGTTAACTGTTAACTACAGTGGAAACACATCACTTCCTAGAGCGCACAGTGGCTGCTGCCGGGTGGCACACAGAGAAGGAACCTAACCAAAGCTGAAGGTAGAAAAAGAAGCTGAGAACCACACAGCCGAAGGAAAGGACTGATACTATGTTATTGTTCAAGAATAAGTCTTTTAAATTATCTCATAAAATATTTATATATAAAACATGTATCCAGCATTGTTCTATCTTGCCCAACACATAAGAACAGTAGCTGCAATCCACAATTGGGAGCAAAACATTTTATCCATTGACTGATGTTTAACTTCAAAACTATTATTAAATATCTAAATTCCTTCCCCCAAAAAACAGCACTAAAAAAAGTTTAATATGCAGTGACCTGGAGGTTTTTTCCCCTTACTTGTTTATTATCTTAAATATATTACCGTCAATGGCCATTTGCATGTTAAATTTTTCATCTTAAATGGAATTTTAAAATAAGACGGTTTCTTTTTGCAGTCTACATCAGGAAACTAGGAAATGAGAGGCCCCTACGATTTAATATGTGGGCCTGAAGTAATGGTGATTTTCTAGCAAATAAATAATTTCCAGAATACCGTTTTTTTCAATAGGTTAACCTGCAATCCTAAAATGGCAAGGAGGTTCCAGTTTTCAGCGACAAGAAATAACAATTAACACAGAAGCATAAATCCTATAACACGGCCACAAGGATCCACGTGAAATCCCGCCTGCCCCAGGCGCTCAGCACCGCGCAAGGCGGATGGAAAGCACAGCAACCCGGGGCGAGCGGGGCCGCCGTCGCTTCACCTGCCCTCCGCGCCCGGGCCGGGCATCCTCGCAGCTTCCTGTTTCCGCAGCGGCGGCCCGGCGAGTCACAGTGGCTCCTGCAACCCCGCCCTGAAGGCCTCCGTCGGGCGGGGACAGCCGGAGTCGCCCCGGAGAGGCCCGCCCCGGCCCTGCCCGGCGCCGGCGTTCTGGAACGGGGCCTGCGGCCAGGAAGATAGCCACAGGGGGCTCGCCGGGCAGCTCCAAGCAATACGTCCGAGGAAAGGCAAACACGTACACTCGGCTGCATCGGCTTCAACGACTCGGGCCTGTGCGCCATCCTCTCTGCTTGAGTCTAGCACTGTCGCTCATTGGAACCCCCGGGAAGTCGTTGCAAACGGTGGAGGGCGGGAGACGAGAACAACATCCGAGAAAGGCGAGGGGAGCGCACGGAAGGGAAGTCGTTGGGGCATGGAAGGGCCCGTTAGGGAAGGCGGCCGCCGCCAGCTAACGGCGGGCTCGGGCCCCGCGCGCTCAGGCCCCCGGCGCCCGCGCCCCGCTGGTTGGCAGGGCCCCCGCCGTGCTGGCGCGGAGCGGCGGCTTCTTCCCCGCACGGCCGCGATCGGCCCCGGAGAGGCGGGCTGCCCCCGGCGCCCCAGCCGAGCCGCCCCCGGGCCCGCGCCGCGCTGCAGAGGCCGACGCCGAGCTGGGGCGCACGGCCCGGGCCCCGGCCGGAACCGAGGGCGTAGGCCGGCGGGGCTGAGCAGGGCCGCGCGGAGCTGGCCGCCCAGGTGACCGGGTTGCCCCGCCTCGGGGATGCCCCGCCTTGGGGTTGCCTTCTCGGACGGCGCCGGGGCGGCTGCTCCCCTCTGCCTGTCCCCTCTAGACCGCGCGCCTGCGGGACCCGCTGTGCCTGCTTCGTCTTGTCTTCTGCAGGGCCTGGCAGAGTGCCTTCAAGAAATGTGTGATGAATAAATGAGACGGTCAGTGTGACTATCGATTACGCGTTTTCTTTTCTTTTAACTAGCATTACTAGTGTTAGTACAGCATAGCATGTTCTACTTCACAAAGTGCTTTCACATCCATCACTTCAAATAATCCTAAAGATAAGCCTACATTAAGAGCGGGAATCATTAGCCCGTGTTATAAGAGTAAACTGAGGCTCAGAGCAATAACTCACACAGAGGCTTCCACCCGACCAATTCTGGTCTGTTTTTTGCCAATCTGTGAGTATAGTTAATGTACTGAGATGTAATATGAGAAGTCATGCAGAAAGCAACCAGCAGAATGCCTGGTATATGGTAAGTAAGCGGTGACTGGTAAATATTATTACTAAGACTATCGTAATCTGGAAAAGGTAGAGAAATGGCTTCTCTCCAGAGCCACCTTGATAAATTCAGTGAGAAAGCGGCCCCAGTGAGGCCGACTTGCACTGCTGCCCTACAGAACAGGAAGATGATAAATTTGCGTTGTCACTAAATTGATGGTAATTTGTTATAGCAGCAATAGAAAACCAATGCAAGCTTCATTATATTTCTCTCTACTTTTGTGTAAGTTTAAATTATTTTGTAATGTTTGTTAAGTGTATAAAACGTAGACCTAAGAAACACATTTTTTCTTTTCTTTCTTTTTTTTTTTTTTTTTTTTGAGGAAGACTAGCTGTGAGCTAACATCTGTTGCCAATCCTCCGCTTTTTGCTGAGGAAGACTGGCCTTGAGCTAACATCCGTGCCCATCTTCCTCTACTTTATATGTGGGACACCTACCACAGCATGGTGGGCCAAGCGGTTGGTAAGTCTGCACCCGGATCCAAACCGGCGAACCCCGGGCTGCTGAAGCGGACGCGTAAACTTACCCGCTGCGCCAGCCGCTGGCCCCAGAGACACATTTTTAAATACTTAATTTACACCTGAATCGTGACAGAATCTGACCTAACAATTATTCAATGCATTTTAACTAGCAAAATAATATGTGATAATTCCCTTTTTGAAAGCACTATTAAGAGTATAGTTAATAAAATAACATTGATTCTCAAAATCACAGATATAAAAGAGCATGGTGCAACCTATTCCCAACTTGAGAATTGGCTGATTTCTATCAAAATCTTCATATTGACATGGCTTCAAGAATGCTAACATTTATTACAGTAATTTTCCTATTAAAATATATTTCAAGAAAGATTTAAAAATGAGTAAAATTTATAAAATAGAATTTAAAAGATGACAAAAATCTCCCAAAATATGCAAACGCAGGCTAGTTTTAAATAGTACCCAATATTTTTAATATAATTTTTAATTTGAAAATAAAGTCTATAAAGCATTTTCTATCACATGAATGTTACCCACATTTAGTCAAATTTGTTAAAACACATAAGCTCTATTAAAGAAAGTCTGTATTTTGAACTAATTGTATTAGTTGATTTTTAATGCCGTTAACTAATTTTAATGCTATGGAGCACCTTTAAGTAATTGGTTTCCTCTCCAAACACCTTAGGTTTTATATTTTACTTCGCTGTCTTTTTTTCGTTTTCCCTGTGGGAGCAGCTACACTCTATAACATCGTGGTGGCTGTTTAAGTCTCCTTGTCTTGGTAGAAGGTGCCCACTCATGCTAAGGAAGCCCTGATTCTCCCCGGTTTCCAGTATAAACTGGTGTGTGAGGGCCTCAGAAGACAGAGTTGAGTGACCGTTCTTACGTTTCAACCACGTTTGCCCAATAGTGAAATATTTACCCGAGTCCTGTCAGTACACACACCAGGAAAAGCAAAGCATATGAAGCAGAGTGCTCCAGAGTTTCCAGGTGTTTACCTTCTTGACCTCATTCCCTCACACAGCAGACATGCATTGAGCCTTTCTCTACCCTAGGTACTAAGCGGTCTTATCTACTTGGTGTTTTCAAAGATCATTCTAGGAACTGTGCTGTGAGATAGAGACAAAGCCAGGGAAAGGGAGAGTAGGAATCCTGAAATTCATGGGGAGGACTTTTGTGAAGACTTGGTATATTAGCTTTGTATTGCTGTGTAACAAATTACCACAAATGTAGCAATTTACAACAGCCCACATTTATTAATCTCATGGCTGCCATGGGTCAGGAGTCCAGGCTGGGCTTAGCAGGGTCCTCTGCTCAGGGTCTAGGCTGTACTCTAGGTGGCAGCCAGGCTGAGTTCTTACCTGGAAGCTCCAAGTCCTCTTCCAGCTCAGTGGTTGTTGACAGAATTCAGCTCCTTGCAGCTGTAGGACAGAGGCCCTCACCTCCCGGGGGCCGCCTGCTGTGCCCTGCTTTGTAGCCCTCCCCACAACATGGCAGTTGCTTCTTCAAGGCTGACAGGAATGTGTCTGCTCCTGCTGCTTTGAATTTCTCTGATTTCTTCTGTTTCTTCTCCGGACCCTCTTAAAGGACTCATGTGATAAATCAGGCCCACTTAAAAGAATCTCTTTTGATTAACTTAATGTCAACTCCTTAGGAAACTTGATCACCTTTGCAATATCCCTTCACTTTTGCCGTAAAGCATAACCTAATCACAGGAGGGATGCCCCATCCTATCGATAGGTCCCACCTTCATTCAAAGAGAGGATTCAACAGGGTGCATACCTAGGGAGACATCTTGAGGGACAATGTGGAATTCTATCTACACACATGGTATTCCACCCTCATTTCAAGAGAAAGCCAAAGTCCAAGTCCCAAGGTCTCTGACAGAGCCGACTTATGACCTGGTTGTATGCTGTTGCTAAAAGAAAAAGATAAGAACGAGGCCACAGTCGACATGAGGATTACCATGACCACCTCCAGGCCGAACTATGGGTGGAAATAAAATATTACACTTTAACCTTGACTGTCACCAGATGGCTGGAAAACAATGCAGTAGTCTTTCCTCGAAGTTAGGACATTTAGAAAGCACAATACACTGTAGCTGGGAAGGACGGCCACTCAGAACTGGGCTCAGTTTTAGCTTTGCACACTCTGCACTTTTTGCCTTTAAAACCCAACCACTCACAGACCGAGGAGAGGCTCACCTATCAACCTGAGGATTGGGGTGTACTTCCCTGGTTTGCAAACCTTTTAATAAAGCCTTGCTTTTCTTTAAAACTTGACTTTGCCTCATAAAGCTGCTCATTTTGGCTAACACCGTACTGAACTTTTCATAGAAAATCACCAGGAAATCAAATAAGACACCAAAACCACGTTGTGATGGGGCAGAGGGGATGTAATTTTGCGCAAACAGAAAAAAAAAAAAGCAAGTCAAATACAAAAGCTCACTATCCAAAGGGAATGTCTAATAACAAATTTACAAAGAATTCTTTTTAATGTAAATTACTATTCCCAATTTATCTGTTTTATAAATCTTGATTTGACACGTTGTGTTCTTGCTTAAGGTGGCGAAAGACCTTAAAGGAACTATTTTTCCTCTCTCAGGCGTTTGGAATTTAGTTTTGGTTCTTAGACCTTTGCAGTTTTTTCTTAAGGTAAACATCCTCTGTATCCTGTTTTAGATTATGATGTCAAAGGTCAAAAATATACCTGCTCCATCCATTTTCCTTCTCTCCAAGTAGTGTGTGCAATGTGCTGTTAAGAAATTGCAGAGAACTAGGGCAAGGGGAGTTGTCTCAGATACATTACAGTCAATCTGCAACAGAGGTTAAATGATTGGTACATTCTATATCACTGCAGTTTACAAACTACCCTCCTGCGTCATGTATCCAACACAAAGTCAGCTAGACTGGAAACTTCTTAAGGGGAGTAGTCTATGATTCAAAATTATTAATATCAAGAATAGCAATTAGGATAGGCGGAGCAAAATGGCGGGGTGAGATGACCCAGGATTCTCTCCCCTCCAAAATACAACAAAAGATTGGAAGAACTGAATTTCAGAGAATAAACATAATGCCAGCTCATTAGAAACCTACAATACCAAGAGGGCGGAGATCATAAACCTTGCTTACACCCTCGGAGGCACTGGAACGGTAGGAGAGAACATCGCTCCCTCCCCTAGAGTCTGCAATCGCTGCGGCGCTGGTCGGGAAGGAGCGGGGGAGGT